GAGGCTAAGGAAGGAGGAATGCTTGAGCCCAGGAGTTTGAGGAGTTTGAGGTTGCTGTGAGCTACAATGACACCGCTGTACTCTACTATTTTTTTAAAATAGTAAAAGCAATATTACCCTGACGATATTTCTGAAGGCAAGTACGGCACATAAAAGTTATAAATGAAACACCTTACAATGGTCTCTACTCCAGTAAGATGACCACCAATGCCATTTATCTGCTCTACTCCAGCCTTCTCCTGCCATAGAAGTTTACCTGTCTTAATTTGCTTAATTGCGACCTCCCTCTATGCCTCACTTAACATGTGTAATGAAGCCATGTGCCATAGAAAAAGGCTTTCACTGCAATCCAGTCCAATAAATGTAGTGACTAGAAGTGAGTGAACAACTAGTATTCTACATATTCTAGATATCTTTGTGTGCATAAACCCTTTAACAATTTGCCAAATAAAGCTTTATAGCCAGTTCATTTAAAAAAAAACTTACTAAGTATATGAAGGTACCAAATTATTCAGCATTTAAATTAAGCTAAATGATTTATACACATCTTGTTACAGTATTATTCTACTCTTTGTTTTACAGTTATGTATATGGCTAACTCTCCCACTAGAGTAGGCGTTCTCTGAAGTCAAGAAACATGTAACTATTAAATTCCTGGCACTGGAAAGACATTAGGTGCTCATTAACCATTTGTTGAATTAATGAAAGCACCATAACTAAAGTACAGAATATCTATATCTTTTAATTTTCTAAATGTCTAAAATATGTTCCCACCTACAAAATGAACATACTTTAGATTTTAATCATATAGTCCTGGCCCACAAGTAAAATCTATGCCATGTAATAGTATAAAAATAGAATAAAAGTTTTATTTACCTTAGTGAAGTCAGTTCCTGTGCATTCAATAAATACATTTCTAGTATTTACTGTTATTTTGGAATGATCCCCTGCAATGAACACAAAACAACCAGTTTCAGAAATATAAGTGCACTATAAAGCCCAACAAAATAGAAACTACATTTTAAATTTAGAATGCAATATAAACTAACACCTTAGAAGTAAGGGGATATACAACTTTTATTTTAACACCCCATTGCAGGTTGGAGAATAAAGACAAAAACAGTAACAAACCTTTACTGAGTGCATACAATGTGTCAGGTGCTATGCTAAGCACTTAACATAGGTTGCCTCAACTAATCTTCACCCCATAATGTAACCGCTGGCAAGAAACTAAGATTCAAAGAGACTGAGCTACTTAACCATTATCACAAGCAGCAAGGTTAAGATTTGTGTCTAGGTTTTGTTAACCCATGTTCTTAACTGCTAGAACTACTATAGCCCAAGATCTCCAGAAGGAGAAGCTTCTCCTTCCCATCAGAAATCAGCTAAGCCTCCTTCTCACCTCCAGAAAGGCAAACATCTATGGCTTAGACATCATCAAATTTTGTAACTACATTCAAATTGCCTCATAAAAATAGCCTTCAGAAAGAAATTAAAGGGAAAATTTAGATGAAAAGTTTTAGTTTAACAATAAAACTACAGCAACACAGAGGTTAGAGTCTGACTTTGAGTTTAACCAAGTGAAGTACCTGCTGAAACCAAGATATCGAATCCCTTTGGAGGTACGGAACAGAAACCAAAGATTGGCATTAGGAAATATTTATAAATG